TCCAGAGTATTTTGGGGGCAGGACAGGAGAGGTCAGGGCTCAGACCAGAGACTCAAGTTCCTTTGGACAGGTTCATCTCCTTCATGTTTGACTTTCTGACTCAGGATTGCCAGCCAGTTTTAAATACCTCTTAAAAGTTTACCACTGAGCAGAGGGGAGCTGGGAGATAGGCTTAGATGGGCTATACAGCTTACCTGACCATCCTTCTACTACCTAACACCTGCCTCAAAACTAAAGCCACTGCACTTTGTCTGGTTTTACAGGACAGAGGCTGAGATTTTAACCAAGATTCCTGGGTGAAATAGAGGATGGAGGGAAAAGCTGAGCAACTGAGGCAGGGAAGGCAATGAGAAGCCACTAAGCCAGCAAGCTCAGGACTGAACTAGAGCAAGGGGATGCGGGCACAGGAACAGAAGATGGGCTGAGAAGGTTCTCAGAAGAACAAATCAGACATGCCTGGAATCGGAAGGAGAAAGGTCTGGGATGACGTGAAGTTTCTCGCTTTTGTTGCGGTCAGTGGTCTTCTCTCTGAACTCAGGGCATCACAGAGAGCTTGTCAGCCTTCTTAGCAGCCAGGGTTGAAAATTCAAGTGCTACTGAGATGTGCAGATGCCACCGCCTTGCTTGCTGAAAGGGAGGAGGACTTGAAGCCCTTGCTGATGACGATCAAGGATAGGGATTACAACGCATTTTAAAGAAGACTATACAGCTGTACAAAACTATACAATGTAAGGAATCATCACAACTGGAACAATGGATAATAAATATCATGATAAATGGGAGAAAGGTTGAAGTTTTCAAGGATTTTGTCTTGCTTGGATCCTCCATCAATGCTCATGGAAGTCAGGAGATCAAAAGCTGCATTATATAAATCTCTTGGACAAGACTTCTTTGGAGGATTGAAAAGCAAGGATGTTACTTTGAGGACTAAGGTGCACCTTGGCGCAAGCCATGGTATTTTCATTTGCATTATATGCAGGTGAAGTTGAACGTTTAATAAGGAAGATCAAAGAAGAATTGATGAATCTGAATTGTGTTGCTGGAGAAGAATATTAAAGGCACCATGGACTTCTAAAAGGACAAACAGATGTGTCTTGGAGGAAATACGGCCAGAGTGATCCTTAGAGGCAAAGACGGTGAAACTTCATCTTATATACTTTGGACAAGTTGTTAGGAGAGACCAGTCCCCGGGGAAGGACATCATGTTTGGTAAAATAAAGGGGCAGAAAAAAATAGAGGAAGGCCCTAGGAGTTGGATTGACACAATGGCTGCACAGGAAATGTGTGAGGAGGGCATAGGACCTGGCAGTGTTTCATTCTGCCATGCATGGGTCGCTATGGGTCGGAACTAACAGGATCCCACCAACTAACAACAGCATCAGGAGCACAGTTCTCTCCACAAGAAACTGAGCTCCTCCTTCAGTGTCCCTCTTTGTCCCCTCCCTGTGTAAACACCACGCACTATTTGATCACAGGTTTCAGTTGTCTACTCTATAAAAAGCAATGTCCAGCAGGTGTGGATAGGTACCCTCCAGGTTTTAATCCCCTACTGTGGTCCTTAGGCAATTTCATGTCAACTTGATACAAGAGTGAAGGGTTGGAGTCTAGCCTGTCAATCAGGTCACAGTCTGATGATTCCTCCTTGTGGGCTTGGACTTCTCATAAGGATTCTGGGAAGTTGCTCTCTCTTGATTCTACCATTTCTCTCTCTCTCTCTCTCTCTCTCTCTCTCTCTCTCTCTCTGTGTGATGTTCCTGTTGACAAGCCACATGGAGCCATGCTGATGGCAGCGAAAGCCCTGGAGATGCTTCCACCCTCATTGGATCCACATCACTTTCCACTCACCAGCCTGTGATCTTCCTGCTTTGGGCAGCATTGCATGTGCTCTAAGAGTCTGAAGAGGAATTCAAGGACGAGTATCAGACATATGGGCTAACAGCGATTTATGGACTTGATCTGGACCGGGCTGGGATGTTTTCTCATATACAGGTGCTCTTTGATATACAGCTCTCTCTCATGCATATACGAGTGTTTCTGGATTTGTTTCTCTAGTCAGCTCAGTCTAACACACCTACTCAGTAAAAAGGCTGTTTCCCATGTTAAAACGCTTTATATTCGGTTTCCCCATTCTCTTGCAGGTTGTATTTGAATTTGTTTTCAAAGTTATTTTTGGCTAGTGTTGCAAGGTATTTAATCTATTATACAAATTATTCAGAGAATTTATAGGAGATTTCATCTTGAAGAGGAACATTTCTCAGGAGCGGAAACTGCTGCAGTGCTGAATTGCCAGAGACAGCTGAAAAAAATAGGTCACGCATTCATCGCATTCGGAGACATGCACTGCCAACCATTCGCGGCTCATTTCTGTGCTCTTCTCGTAAACAGGCCACGTTCACAGCTACTTAAAAAAAAAAAAGGCATAAACATTTCCCAAGTGAATTACACAGGGAAGTCAGCATCCTCTCCACCAGCTCCCACATTGTTTGTTCTCAGAGCTCAGGTGTGGTCAAATAGCTGTGGGCAGAATCCGCTTGGATCACGGCCAGCAGGCCTCCCCTCACCCCAGGCCGGATTTCTCACGGTGGTGAGCAATTCATAGTTTGCCTGATGGAAATAAATAAAAAGGTTGAAGAACTCAGTTTCCGATTTCAATAGAAGTATGCGATCCAGAGTGCCTGGTGGGAAGGATCTCAAGGCGAGATGAACTCTTGGCGCTGTGTTTCCTTTCTGACCCAGAACCCGGGATTGATGATCCAAAGTGAGTGTTCACACCTGTTCTCAAGCGTTGGATTCGTTTGTTGGCAGAGGGATTTGAGGAAGGTGGGGCTTCGCTTCTTGACTTTTCGCCTGAGTAAGTCGGCGGTGTCAGGTGCCTCTTTGAATTGTATTGTCTGTGCCTTCTTAGGTCGTGCGTGGGCCACACGTCTGGGTTGAATTCGTCTTCCAGGATCGAATTCAAACGATCAGCTGGCAGATGCAATTCTGAGAATGACTACAAAGTGAATGCACTTAAGACTCTTCCCTCTTAGGTGAAAAAGCCCAACGAATTCCACTCTCATCAAGTGGAAGCCACGACAGGGCTATCCAGCATCCAATCAATGCCTACTATTGGGAGCAAATATAGGGTGGGCGTCATCGGTGAATACGCATTCTCTTAGTTTGACCAAACATCAAAAGAAGGAAGATGGAGGAAATGAAAATCTACCCATAAGAAAGGGCCGTAATACATTTTTGACCAGGCGCTTTTATTTTTGAAGTTAATAAAGAAACTGGGGCTTTGTAGAAAGAAAGGCATCCCCCGTGCAATTTAAATAATTAACAATGGCAGCCACGGAAAAGCAGACCTTCACTGCCTATTTCACAACCTTTAGCAAACCACCTGGGGGCATCAACAAAAGGAGTGCAAATGAATCTCAACCCACTGGGGTATCTAAAAGCAATCGAAAATAAAAATGATAAAGAAACTACATTCAAGAGGAAAAGCAAGGAGTTGGAGTGGCCAGTGGGTTGCACTGTCAAGTGTTAAGTTGGCTGTGAACATTCAGAGTCCTATTCAAAAGCAAACTACCCTCTAATACACTCAGACTGACTTTTGCCTACTGGTTTTATATTCTCCAAGCCCACTGACTATTGTAAAGTTGTGATGAGCTAGCTGCAGGGCACCTGACACAGATTCGGTAAGGTTTACTTTGCGTGGAAAGACCAGGGGGGCCAAATAGGAACCTATTTTTGGAGTCGAAGAGGAGAAGGCATTGAAAAATATACTCTTAAGTGGTATAAATGCAGATTTACTACCCTTCTCTGTGGCAAGCGCCAGGGATGATTTATGCCAAGGGAGAAAAACAAAGCCAAACAATACACTGAGATGTAGGTCTGCAGTGAAACCTGAGCGGATGTTGCCCCAGGCTCACGCCTGCATCCCCGAGCTCCACCCTCACAGGCTGCCTTCCTGGGAGCTGTAACTGGACCACAAATGCATCTGGCAAAACCCTTCACTGGTCTGTAGGGACAACTGGTTATTTTAAGCCCTTTAACCAATTAAATAGAAAGACTCTGCCTCCCATATAAAAACTAACTACATGTACACCAGGAGGTTAGAGGGATGGTGTGGGCGGGGGAGGGGAGGGAGAGAAAGGGGGGAGTCATCACAGGGTTGGATATATAGCCCACCCTGCAGTGGGACAAATAACAGAATTGTGGGTGGAGGGAAAACACAGACAGTGTAAGACACAAAATAAAAACATATATAGTTGATCAAGGATTCACGAGGGTGGGAGGGTGGTGGAGGGAGGGGAAAAAAGAGGAGCTGATACCAACAGTTTAAGTAGAAAGAAAATGTGTTGGAAATGTTGATGACAACATCTGTACAAGGGTGCTTAATACAACTGAATGATGGATTGTCATAAGATTTGTTAAAGCCCCCCCATAAAGTGATTAATAAATAATTTAAAAACCCCACTACGTACAAAAGCTAGATAAGAAACAATGAAGCAGACAGGAAGAGGTACATATGTAGCTCACTGTGAGTTGAAACCGAAGACCTTCGTGAAAAGTTTCCTGTATTTGGGGGTGGTTCTCATTGTGTGGGGTGCAGTGACTTTCTGCAGGGTCAGTTAACACGAGGGGGGATCACTAAAGGGCCAGTCGCTTGAGTTAAGGAAAAATTAGATAAACTCCTCTATTTGTAGCCATGACAGCATCAATGCAGAAGCCAAGGGTCACAGGGATGTTGACAAATCAAACAGGCAGGTTCCTTTTCTCTGCTGTTTCCAATTTCGCGCTGGGTGGGGCAGGGGATGGAAATGGGCACAGGAGAGAGAGATCAGGAAAGTGTCCGTCCACCCACATAGGGCCAGTCTATTTGTTCTTGGAACCAATAACATGTAGATGGTTTAGCTCTAAGCACTAGCAAGCCCTTTTAAAACCTGCATGTACAGATACTTCATAATTCACATTTGAAACAAAATTTATAGGACAGGTTATGAAAAGTGAGGAAATACCTGGTTGCTGATATGTTCCTGGTTGTTTTCTCTAGTCACTGAAAGAGAAGGCAAAAAGGAAATTTAGCATTTGGGGTATGAAATTGAATACCAGGCAATATTGATCTTGCACTGTGTCCACATTGTAGTTGTCCTGGGCTCTCTGGGAAATAATTTATATCACAATATAGATACTTTCAATCATGATTGGAATTAAAAAAACCCAAACACAACCTAAATAAACCAAGAAGATAACAGAAAATCGAGTGGAAATCCAGGAAGGGTGATACCAGAAGAATGCATTCAACTCTGGCAGATAACTGGGAGGACATGAAAAGGACCGACGAGAAATTTGAGCCACAGCCAATTCCAGATTCCTGAACAATGGCAACCTGTTCAGGCCGAACTCTAACCTGGGGCTCAGCGAACCTTGAGGACTGGACAAGGAGACTTGGCGGAGGCTGGCGTGGCAGCGTGCTGCTTTTGAAAACCTTTCTTCACCTGTGAAGATGATGAAGACATTACTGCTTTTGGCGATGGTGCTGCTAGACATTAAAGATGCAAACCACCCGCTTTATAAATTGCATCTGAGTCTGAACAGGATAAAGTCAGACTAATGCATAAAAGCAACAGAGGGGCATCCCTAAAAGGAAAGGAATGTCTTAGTAATAATAACTGAACTAACCACCTCCCCGCCCACGAGGAGAGGGAGTAAAGGAGAAGACGCTGGGGGCACAGGGTTAATATGGGGTGGTGCACACCTCAATGCGGGAGCAGTACTGCTGGACGCTGCTGTCAAATCAATTCTAAAGCATAGCGACCCCACATCTGCCATGCACAGTGTGAGGAGAACTGTCTTCCATAGGGTTTCTATAGCTGTCATTTGGGAATTAGATTACCATGCACTTACATTTTACTAAACATACCATTGTGGTGCTTGCTTGTTTTTAAGTTAAACTTTTAATTTTGACATAAATGTAAGTTCACATATACCTGTAAACAATAATACAGAGAGAGCCCACGTATACCGTATCCAATTTCCTCCAATGGCAACATCTTGCAAAATTACAGTCCAATATCACAGCCAAAATAATGACTTGATACAGTCAAGATGCAAAATATTCCATCATTACAAGAACCCTTTGTCCTGTTTTAGCCACATCTTCTCTCCCACCCTTTTCCTCCTCTTAATCCTGGATGGACACTCATCTCTTCTCTATTTTTAAAATCATACTGCCATTTCAAGAATATTATATACATGGAGTCATACATTACGTGACCTTTTGGAGTTAGCTTTATTGGCTCAGCATAATTATTTGGAGATCCACCGAGCTTGTTGTACACATCAGTAGTCATAGTTATTTTTGTGGCAGAACAGTAGACTATGGCACAACCACATCACTGTTGGTTTAGCCATTCAACTGTTGAAGGACATCTTGGTTGTTTCCATATATTGTTTATTTAAATAAACCCACGATTAACACGGATGTACGGGTCTTTGTGTTGACGTAGGTCTTCGATTCTCTGGGATAAAGAACCAGGGATATAAGTGCTGAGTTGTAGACGGCAGATGTGTGTGTGTATTTGTTCAAAACACTGTCAAACTCTTTACCAAAAAATAAGTGATACTTACCAACCTATGAACCAACTAATTACAAGTATATTTTGAAATTTGACTAAGTGTTCAGGACTGGGCAATGTCCATGTGGAATACAGTAGAAGTAGAGGAAGCAAAGAAAAAATGGTGGGATAACAGTAGGCAATTCAATCATGCTGTTGTCATAACAGCCAGAAGCCAATCTTGGAGTTTCTAGATAATAAGAACCCATTGGCTGATTTATAAATCTCAGTGAGCAGTCATATATGCAATCATATATTTTAATATTTAGAGTCCATTTGCCAGACAACACAGTGTTTGAAGAAGTAGCAATGTGGTTTGTGGGAAAAGCTTGGCCTTCTGAATTAGACAGATCATCTTGATTCTAATTTTAGCTCTTCATGGACATGAGATTTGACTAAAATTGGAAGGAGGAGAAGGAAGTTAATCTGGCCACGAGGACTGAGAAGGGCATTCAGGTAGAAGGAAGAGCCCGTGCAAATGCCTTCCTTTGCACGTGTGGTAGGAGGGAGCATAGCATGAGTCTGAAGGGGAAGCTATAGATTAGTATTGGACATATGGGCTAACATTGGACTTATGGACTTGATCTGGCCTGGGCTGCGATGTTTTCTTAATATATAACTACTCTTTTATATAAAGCTCTTTCTTATACATACAGGACTGTCCCTGGATATGTTTCTCTAGTCAACCCGGCCTAAAACAGCTGGCTGAATATACACAGTGTATTTCTTCAACAAAACCAAACTAAAAACTCCTCCAGATTCCATATCCCTCAAACCTAAACAGTGGTTTAAATAAAAAGTTTAAAAAAACAGTGGTTGAAATTAAAAAGAAGAGCAAAAATAAAATTGAAATGGACTTGAAGTGTTTAGTTGCAAACAAGTTCATGTCCAACAGACAAACAAAGAAATAGAAAGATGACATGATAGGCTAGGCTGAAAGGGCAGGGGGCAGATCCGGGTGTTGAGCAGGTGCCATGTCCCAGTTGGAAGAATGAGGGAATGGGACAAGACAGAGCAAAGAACAAGAATAACCTGGACGTTTTCAGCTAGGAATTCATGGATAATGATACTTCTATGGGAGAAAGAACCGGTTTTAAGGTATATATTAGTAGTTAAGCGTGGCTGGTGTACATTATTCGCATGATGGTATGTGGAGGTTGTAGAAGCTCACACAAGATTGATATTCAGACAACTTCAGCTTCAATCGGTCTCATCTGGCTTGGTCCCAAGAGGCCCCAATAGGGGGAATTTCTTACCTGGTACCATGTCCTGGGCGAAGCCCTTCAAATCTACTTTCTCCTTGGAATAACTTGTGAAGTAAAGATTATTACTGGTACTTTTTGAGATTAGGAAACTAGTGCTTAAGGAAGTCCAGGAGATTCCCTACGTTTATTGAATGCTCAAAGTTCTAAAGTAAAATGTTGCTTCTTTCGACTCTTTTTGATGGATGCCAACAAAAGGTTTTCAGAAGAAAGGCAGCCTTATTTGCCTGAGATTTGGGTCTCGTGCCAAAGAGTTAGATGAAAAACATTGGACAGGGTTTGGGAGTAGACATTTCGGTGGAATAGAAAAACCAACTGGAGCAGAAAAAATGGTACAGAGAAGTCGTGGACACAGTAGCTGTGTCTAACGATGCAGGCAGTTGGAACACTGTTTTCCACCATGGACGTCAATAATGGAACATATAGACACCCCCCACCCCATCTCTACAAGCATTTGAGAAGACCTTTTCTCTAAGATTTATAATTCTAAAATCAGTGCCTCAGATCCCCCAAGCCCTCTTGTTGTGGTGACCCACTAATCCCTTCCATTGTAAGTAGTTTGATTAATCACCTCAAATTGAGTAAAACTCCAGGGGAAGTTCTTTCATTGCCTAAACAGTTTAAAGCAGTACTTCTTAACCTCTTTCTGTTAACAGGCCCCTTTGAGAATCGAAGAACAGCGATGAATCTGTGCCTCAGGAAAATGCCACCACACGGCAAAATGCGACAACTTCAGAATGTTAACAGCCCTGCTGAAGGCATGCACCGATTTGCAAACACCCGAACTTTAAAGTCATTTTGGATGGAAGCTCCCAATACGTGGAATGATTTCTTAGATTACCGCTCATCAGGACAACTTTCTACACCCTCAAAATTATACACTTATAATTGTCTGGCCATGTCTCCTAACTAAGCAAATTGAAAGTGTTAGCCCACTCTTTCATAGTATATTCATTCTAAAATTATACCAGCTTCCTGGTGTCAAGATACTTCCTTAATGCCAGGTGTGCAAAGATGAATACAACAGGGCACGTGCCCTCCAGATAGCTAGAGAGTCCGACTGTCACACATCATGTGAAGTGCTCGAACAGGGGATTGAATGGCATGCTGCGGGAGCCCAGAGGAGGAACCATCCGCATGCTTCATCTTGGGGAACAAATAGGTTTCTAGGGGGGTATGCTGCCATTAACTGCTGTTATCCTTCTTTCAACTGATGCAGAAATATGTCAAAAACCACAGTTTCAACTGATTATTAGATTTGTACTTAATGGAGCTTCAGACTATATTTTAGATACAGGCATGTTGGAACTAATGGTTAGAGAGAAGGTGAATCTAAGGAACCATCATTGGCCTGTGAGGACTGGATCAATGAAAAGGTGGAATTTGAATCAGACCTTCAACACCATATAAATTTGGATGATCAGCAGGCTTGGGCTATTTAAGCTGTCTACCCCTCGAAGCAAGAACTAGCTCGTGAGCCGCTCACGTTCTTTAGAAGGTGTCACAAGGAAAGACTCGAAATGGGAAAAGAAAACATGATCATGAACTTTTTGTCTACTTCCTCCTTGGGGTTCAAATACATCTAGTCGTTTTCAGCAAATGTAGAGCAATATTGATATGTTACAACTATGGCATTATGATCTATCAAATTCCTCTCTCCTATCCAAGAGTACTTTAAGAAAGCTTCTGATCATTTGGGGAAGTGGACCAACCCGGTCAGCGTTAACAGGACAGATGTGGCCATTCATGGAACTTCGCCCTTGCTTCTGCTGTGCAAAGGGCACAGGGTTGCAACCATTTCTTATAAAAGGGTACTGGAACCAGAAAATAGCTCAAGGGGACCAAACATGGAGGTCAGAGATGCTTGAGAGCAGCAGGACAGCTTCCCAAATATATCTATAAAGTATCCCATCAACAGCATTCCCCAGAATTGCAACCTGAGCCTCCCGGTGGCTCCCTGCTTCCTCTCCTGCTCTCCCTCAAGTCCTGGCACTCCTTGGCCCACGTGCTGGCTGCACACCTCCCCAGCCTCACCGCCTGCACTCCTCTCTAGCCTCCGATCCGTGTAGCCCTTCATTCATTTCTGGTTCGACTTTGTCCGTGAGACCATGGACAGAGACTGTCATTTCCCCAGGGCGGCAGAGCGGGGTCTTCTGCGGTTTCAGGTCTCAGCTGAA